GTTTGTATGTGTGTTTTCTTGTTCAAGAGAGCTTCTTCATTCATGCAGAAATTTCATTAGCAAATTTCCTGCTTCATGTCCAAAAGGTCCAAAAAGAACTTCCAGTAGTGCTGTGGGTTTTCACTTGTTCTCCTTTTTGTCTGTCCTCCTTCCTACTTAGCTTCTCTACAGTTAGTTCCAATTCATTCAGAGAACATATGAAGTAGGTTATTTCTTCTGTATGGTAGGGTTAGCCCAGACAAGCTAGGGTCCAGACAGGCCATTTCCAGCCTGCAGCGGTCTTGCTTCCTAGCTTGAAGCTGATGCAGGCAGGGCTCTTTTTGGTCCCCCCCTCCCCGCCCCCACGACTTGCACGGGAGGCATCATCCAGCTGTGCTTATTTTCCGAAGATAAACAGCTCTGGCCCGTATCACAGATGTCAGGGTAATGTTTCTGTTGACTTGGCTGGTACACAGAGAGTTGAGGCTTTTGTGATAAGATTAGAGAGGGACTCCAGTGATTGAAATGCTAGATGAGAGCCTCCTTGGAGAGACTTGGCCCATCCAGGCTCCAGATCCTTTTTATTGTGTGCGAGGTCCTTAAACACACACTATTTTTTCAGACTGAAGCAAATAAATATCGAGGGCCAAATTCTGCCTCTGGCTAGCTGCTTGCAGACGTGGACTTTGCTATAGCTGCTGCTTGGGCTCCTGGATGATAGAGTTGGACCAGGGCTCTGGCCAACCTCATCCAAAGGCTGGCATTCAGCAGAAAGGCTGTCTCACTTCTTGAATGTAGCTTCTGACAGTGTCCAGCAAAGCAAACTCTTCCTCTCCCATGTTGCCCTCCGGGGAGCATGGATGCTTTCCGACCTGCTGTTCAAGCCAAGCCGATCCCTTCCTAAACCAGTTTCATCGCCACGGAGGTAAATCCTAGACTTGCTGCTGTTCATCCAGAGGGCCTTTGGGCTCAGGCCGACTAGCGCCTCCCAGTCCCTTTGCTATTGTGGAATCGTACATGGGTCAAGAGGCAAGTGCAGAGAAGTAGGATGGACCCTGCAAGGCATTTTCTTTTGCATTGAAAAGTATTTTAATTAATCACAGGGAAGTCAACAGCCCCACTGAAGAAGTGGGTCTCAGGCCACGGGAGCCAGGCTGAGCGCTTCTAAAGTATGTTTAATGCAAGCCCACGCTTCCCCGTGCCCTGTCAGCAGAGAGTCCCGTTCAGGATCATACCAGGAACCCAAATGCCCCCAGCAGCTTGATCAGGAAAGTGCTTACTCCTTTTAGCCTCTTTTTTTATTATAAAGAGCCTTAGAAATTCATCTGACACGGGACTTTCTGTCCTTAGTGAGGACAAGAGGCATGTTCCCACGTACTCGCAGCTGGGCTTTGTTTAATGACTAGGACAGGCGTGCGGGGCACATGCCCGCAAAACCCAAGACCTCTTCCAGGCCCCAGTCACACCAAGGGGTTTTATGGGAGCCCTGGCAAAGCAAGTTCCCCCTTAAAGGACAGTGCGACCGCTCGTGCCAGGGCTGCCCCATGGGCCCTTCCCACTGGCCTTTGCGTGGCCGGGCCAGCAGACGCACCTCGCACTGTGATTTCCAAGCCAGGGAGCAGCTGGTTTTCTTGCTTGTTCATTTTTGTTTTATCCTGCGTGTTTATTGTTTGGGATTTAATTTATAACTGTGTTTCTAATTGCTCTTCAGCTAATAATAATCTGTAGCTCGCTGTAGCGGAGTCAGATTCAGGTGCCAGCAGCTGGGCCATATGCTGGCGAGCTGGCATCTTGCCTGCCTCCCACCCCAGGCGGGAAGGAATCGGTGAGGAAGGCGATGCGCGCAGTGCGGGCAGGTGCCAAGAGTTACTGCGTGTGGGGCGTAGCTGGCTACCAAGCAAGTCGAGTGCCTGCCCCTCACCAGCACCTCGCCCCAAGCCTTCACGAGCTCAGGACACGCTGTGCTGCGTGAGGGGCGATCGCATTAGCGCGGTCCATCTCTCCCATATGCGCCATCCTTTGCTCAGTTGGATGCGTACATGTTAAATGAGCGGTACGAACTGAACCACCCCCACGCACGCACCTTCCTGCTTTGCAGGCACTGCCGAGATGCAGCTGGCTCTGGCACGGAAAGCAGCCACCCCACAGGACAGGGGAGAGTAGGGAGCGAAGCAGCATCCCTGGTCCAGCTGCAGCTGGCGGGAGCCGGGTAGCCAGCAACCCGCCTCCTGTGCCCCCTTTGCCTAAATAGACCTGCAAGGCTGCCAGTGGAGCCCCTTCATTTGTTTCTGACTCTTCTTTTCCCTTGTTCCTACCTTCCCACGTTGGGGAAGGACGATTAGTCAGCTCGGGGACAAAGGCACCTGACTCGTGGCTCCGAGCCGGGGCCAGCGCCCCTCTCTGTGTGCTGCGACGCTGCCCCAGCTGCAGGTTTCAGGGGTGCCCCCCCTCTCTAGGCCGCACTGTAAAACTGAGGACCGTCATGCTTTGCTTTGCCATCTCTGTGCTGAGTTTTCGGAGTATCCGACCATTCTGCCGCCACTGCTCTGTCACACGTGACCCCCGCGGGGCTCGAAATTCTCCCCGGCCTCCACCCTCCCCTTCCCATCCCGCGGGCGCTGCGGTGGCTTCTCAGAAGGTTGCCCGTGCCCTGCCTGCTGCCCGGGCCCGGGGCGGGCAGGCGGAGAGGAGGAACCCCTGGGACGAGGGGATCTCATGCAGACGAGCAGAGCTGGGAAAGCGTTTCTAGTCGTGCTGCTCAGGCGGGAGGGGGTAGAGCTGTACCGGGGCACCTTCCCCAGGCCTCAAGCCAGGCTGTGCAAAGTGTGATCCCAAAACACCAGCTCCTTCCCGATTCCCATCACCCTCGTTACCCGCTGTCGCCTCAGTACCCAAATGCCAGGCTCCCCCACGCCCCAGCTCTTGCTTGCAGGGCCAGTCCCTCGCTCTGCAGGGCCCGGTGCTGGTCTGAGTTCAGGGGGGCAAGGTGACTGGGGCTCTTGAGGAGTCTTGGTCTGTCTAGTCAAGGTGTTCATTAGGTGCCGCGCTTGGAGGTGTCTTCCTTGCATGCTGGAGGGTGAGGAACCCCCTTCCGGACCCTCTTTGTTCGGAGGATAGGGCCAGCAGGAGTTGGGTGCACCTCGCCTCCTTTTGGCCCGCTGACGGAGCCAGGGGGAAAAGCAGCCGGGGGGGAAGGATCCTGCTTGGAGCCATTGTCAGAGTAGGAAGCTGAAGAAGCTGAACATACATTCGACATGCCACCAACGGGAGATACGTTCCCAGAGCTACAGCGACATTGCCCTTTCCCTCCTGTCAGCCGGGAGGTCGATGGCTGCAAATTTGGGGGGAACGGTCCCAGGAACACGGCGGGGATTACAGTTGTGTGTGGAGCCAGGGCAGCAACTTTTTGAAAAGCCTCCCAGTTCTCTGCTCCCCTCCGCCTACCACCTCTCACCCCTCGCCATCAGCCAGGCTCAGCACTGCCCCTTCCCTCCCGTGGTGCTGGCGCTCGTTTCCACCCCTCCTGCGCACGGGCCATGCGCCGCGGAGGTGCCTCTGGCTGAGGCTGCTCATTTCAAGTCCCCCATTGCACTCACTAACAAGCATCTGCTCTTTTGGGGTTTTTCCTTTCGCGAATGGGGCCATCACGGGGCGGGGGGAGACGCTCATGTTTCCTTTGTAACGTCCGAGGACACAATTTCGAGCCCTGAATGTTCTCTCTTCTAACCTCCCTCCTTTCATTGCAGATCTTACATTGTAAAGTTTTTTTTTTCCCCCCCCTCCCCTTTTCTATATTTCTTCTTTCTTCTAAACTATGCAACATTTACAATGGGTTGTTTGGGGGCTTTTTTGTTGGTTTGTTTTTAATGCAATGACATTTTCTCCTGCTGTCTCTTCCCCCAGGTATGCTCAGCCACCCGCCGATCCCCATCGCCGAGCTGGCAGAACACACGGAGCACCTCAAAGCCAACGACAACTTGAAATTATCCCAAGAGTACGAGGTACGAGCAATAAGGCATGTAGCAAGAGACAGCCACGCTGCCGGGGGCACCTGCTCGGCTCTGCTGGTTTCCAGAGGGTAGTGGGCACTGTGGGCAAGGGCAGTTGTGCGGAGCAGCACTTAGGTTTTGAGCACTTTGTATTGTCCTGTCTCTGCAGCGCCTAGCGCAAGGGGGTCCTGGTCCAGGACTGGGGCTGCAAGTTCCTGCTGCCATGCACAGGTTCTGGAAAGCGCAGCCAAAGGGGTTTCCTGATCCCACGTGTTTGAGGCCTGTGGGCGGCAGGCGCACGGCCACCTCCTCGACTGCAGGGACGGTGAACTTGCTGTCCCTCAGTGATCCCGTGGAGGCGTGGACATCTCGGTGGTGGCCTTACCCCCTTCCTCCCGCCACAGTGGCCAGTCATTAGGAGGGTCCTTTCGGCCCTGCTGATAGAGCAGAACGAACAGGAGGAAAACGGTCTGGCCATACGTCGTGGTGCATCCAGGTGTCCCCATAGCCACGAGGCTCTCGGCTGCTCTCTCCGCAAGCATTCACCCGCTTGAGCGGCATTTGCACAAGTCCACCCCCAAGCGCATCGGGTGCCCGCAGCACATTTCCGGCTTCTCATGCTCCACCGTAGCAGCCAGAGATTGCCCAGGGCGGGCAGGTGAGTTCAATCCTGGCATGACCCGCAAGCCCAGCGGTCGCCTCTCCTGGGACACGGATGGCGTCATTAGCAAACGGACCATACGGCTGCATTTCTTTTGTCCAGAAAGATGTGCTGATAGTTTTAGACCATGGACTATGGTCTAGGTTGTCCGGGTCTGCCCCCAGATGGTTCACAAACAGGGAGGCCTGGGAGACTGAACGGTTCTGCAGTGTCTTTCGTTTGGTGGTGGACAAAAAGGTCCCATCGTCGCAGCTTGTCCCCCATCTAAGCGTGCATGCAGGGTGGGGAAGACCTTTGCTCTGCTGGGGTCTTTCACCCCCGTCTTGGAGTTAAAGGAGTGCATGGAAGCCAAATCCAGTTAATATGCTCTATACAGATTTCAAAGGCTCATTTGCATAAGGCAATATCCCAAGTGCCCTGGCTTAGTTCCAGCACAACCTCCTCTAGTTGGGGAGCCAGAGCTAAACAAACAGCACTAATGAAATGAATGTGAGGCGAGATTAGAGGGATGGAGAGCAAACAGACACATTACAACAGTATAAATACCCATTAGTTAGAAATGCTCCGCAGCGAGAGAGCAAGAGGACATTAGTGTCGTGTGGTGTTGTACCGGCTCCGCCACCTCCTCTCAGCTGCACGGCTCATAAAACACACCCCACGACCACCGGGTCGGAGCCGCACCCCGGAAGGAGGGAGACGCTGGGGGCGAGCGCGGCGCAGGGAGGGCGCGCACAGAAAGAGCCCGGAGCTCCTGCCGGCGGGCGCCAGGGGCTGCTGGGCGAAGCGGGCCCATGCGCAGCGTGCCCATCCCCTTGCCCTCCGGGAGGGGCGCAGGCTGGATGCGAAGCAAACAGCAGGGACTGCTGCGGCATGTGCTGCTGCCAAGGCTCTGATTGGAGCAAACCCCTCCGGCTCTGCAAAACGAGGAAGGAATTAAGCCCTTGTTTTATTTAATTCTCTGGCTGAGGATTTGGAGGTAAACGTAATTAACCTAATTTCCATATCTGGGACAGCTGGACTTGAAAAAACACGAAACCTGGCATAAATCATCAGGACAGGCGGAGAGGATTTTTCTCTCCAGTGCATTCTGCTGTTTACTCCTTTATCCCTTCTAGGAAGGGGCCGCTGGTGATTCATTTCCTTAGGACCAGACTCCTTAACCCCTGTCTGCCTGGGGAGATGGGCCACTGCCCCTCCTGCCAAGTGAGCCCGTGCCAGCTCTTGAAGGGGCACGCTTACACTCGGGCAAGAGCCTTCCCCGTTCCAGAGCTCTCTGTCTTGCCTCCAAGTACCCCAAGCACTGACGCCCCATCACCCCTTCCTAGGGCTGCTTAGTTCCCTTCCTGCTGCCTAATATCCAGCTGCGACGGGATGCTTTCCCCTGATGTTCAGCCTACATTTCTTCCCCGCCCATTGGCATCCCATTATAGCTGGTTATAATCCCTCATTCGGCCCTCAGTCATCCCCCCCGAGGTTTCCACCCCGCAGGTGTTGTTAGACTAACGCGTTGTTTAGCTAAAATACATGCAGCTTTGGCTCTTCTCATCTCCGCTCATGAAGCCGTCCCAGCAGCGTCTGCATCAGCAATGCTGCCTGCAGTTCCTCCATAGTTTTCTGGATACGCAGGACCCAGAAAAGGCTGCCTTCATCCTTTTTCCAGGCACGGTCATGCTGGAGCTGTATAGAGATGAGGCATCTCCCTGCCCTGTGACGCGATGCCTTTGCACCTGCAGCCTGAAATGGCACTGGCAGGTCTGCGGCCATGTGGCACTGGCATCATGTCATGCCACTGCCAAGTGTGTGTGTGGTTGTGGGGGTGAGGGGGGGAGAGCATGACGCACGAAGGGCAATGGGAAAGGGGTCGCACTCCATCACCGGGATGCAGCCGAGAGCAGGCAGGGTCTGTCGGTTTGGGAGGTGAAGCCATAGCAAACGCTGGGGTCTTCAGCTGGGACTCCAGCCCTGCAGACACCCAGGGGCACAGCAAGACCCACAGGAGCTCACTCTTGACTGCACTGTTTCCTTTCCGGTCCCTCCAGTCCATCGACCCAGGCCAGCAGTTCACTTGGGAGCACTCGAACCTCGAAGTGAACAAGCCCAAGAACCGCTACGCAAACGTGATCGCCTACGACCACTCCCGCGTCATCCTGCTGCCCATCGAAGGTAACTGCTGCGGCTTCTGCTCGTGCACGTTAAGAGGAGCCTGGTGCTGTGGGGGGTGCTGGGAGCCGTGGCCCACTGAGGCCCCGTTCCTTCTGCCCCTCTGGCTGACTCTCCTCTCACCTGCTCACCCAGGGAGCAGCAGGCCAGAAGGGAGGGTCTTGCACAAACTATGAGATTGGTGCCTTGTTGGCGCGTCCTTCATTTCAGAGTTCGTCTAGTTAGAAGCTCTCTTCCCTTCATGTCAAGCGAGTTCTTCTTGTAGCTCCCAGCTGGATGTATTCTGGAATTGAAACGTATCCAGAGGTGGGTGATAAGCAGGGTGCTCAGGACGGGTGCAGCTAGGCCTGGCTGGAAACACTGTCTGCAGAGCAAACAACTGTGCCATTGCATGTGCATCTGCACTAGCTCGCACAGATTACAATAGGAGCGCTCACTCGGGCTTTGGTGCAGGTTGCGTACACCTGCAGAGGACTCTGGGTACTTCCAGAAGGAGGTAGCCTGTATGAGAGCCTGTAGCGCTGAATGCCCCCTGCCGTTGTCACCTACAACAGCTACCTGGGTCTGTCGTATCAGCACTTCTGACACGAGACGACCTGGGTCTGCTTCTACTCAAATGCTTAAGGCACGGGGTGGGGGGTCTTTGCTTCAGCAGTTTCCTGATCTTCTCATGTAGTGACAGCCCTGGGCCATTTAGCAGCTGCGCATTTTGCTGCACTGGTCCTGGTTGTCTCCAGCCACCACGTTAAAGATGCAGCTCTAACAGAGGCCTTGCAGTGGAAAGCGATCCCAGACATGACCCGCTGCTCTCGCCCTCTTCTGCTGCACATGGATGCATGGGTTTGCCATTCGCGGGTAGCCTTGCGCAGTCAGGGTGCGTTTATCCAGACAACTAGAGTAAAGCAGATGTGAGTTAAGGTCCAGTGATCCTGTGGCCGAAGGTAAACTGGAGTTTTCCCCCCCACCCCACTTGTCCAACACGTATGTGATGGAGGTGGGACACTGGCAATGAAGTTCTGCCCAAACACCTGGCCCAGGTTTCGATCTGCAGTGTCTGTGCTGGAAGGGGGATCGTTAATGTGACAAAGACAACTGTGGCTCAGCCGCTTTTCCTTCCAAGACACCTTGCAGTACCTGCTTGAACTGCAGAGCCAGGCTTCGCACAGCTGCCTGCCTTGTGCTAGAAAAGAAAGGGGGAGGGAGAGGGGCGAGAAAGCGCACGGTCCTGCCGGCGTTGAAAGCAAAGACGGGGCGAGCACCGGCTCCCTGCGCAGGAGCACTAGCCAGGAGAGCACTGATGTAAGTGCAGGGACCGTCTGGAGTCGCATTCAGTCCTCGAGCTCCTGCAGCGTCCTAGGGTGACAGTCTGCCGGGCTCTGGGCGGGTGCTGCACAGACAGGGAAAGGGCAGGCGTCTCTCATTCTGCCCGGGCAAGCTGCCTCGGCACAGACCTGCAAGAGGTGTCATCTCTGCACCCTCTGCAAGCCAAGCAGCGATGGAGCCAGCAAGGGCACGTGCATGCATGGAGCTGGATTCATGCCACGTAGGCAGGGCAGAGCCACCAGCTGGTAACTGCTTCCCGTCCAGTGCTTGCCCTAGTTAACATGGACGCTGCATGTGTGCAGCAAGGCACCCTGTCTCCCTTAGGTGCTTCATACTGTTCTGCCTCTTTGGTCCATCCCCAAGCCCTGGGCACCTCCGTGTTAGTACCGGATACCCGGATGGGGATGAGCCCGTGTCTGCGTGACATTAGGCTAATGACGTGACACCCACCAGCTCCCGGAAAGGAGGCCGTTTGCTCCTGTGGTCTCTGGGCAGCAGTTGTTTCCTCCCATCTCGTGCAGCCGTTTTCCTGTCCCTTCGCACGCTCAGCCCGGGTTACGAGGAGCGCGGAGGGGCAGAGGAACAGCTTCCCAGCGGCGCGCGGAGATCATTGAAGCCACAGTCGTCTGCCCCGGGCTGGCTGGCACAGCCCTTCCCGGCAGGCCGGCGGGATCTCCCAGCCGTTGTTTAAAGTTCTGGCATCAACAAATCCGCAGCGTGTTGGCTCCGCCAGCTCGAAAGGGGAGGGAGGTAGCGGTTTTAATTCAGCGATTTCCCTGTAACAAGGCCTGTCACGCAGCAAAACATTCCCGGCACTGGCCACCATTTTAAATTACACGGCAGGCCCGAGGGGAACGGGTTGGAGATTAATTCTGGACGCTCAGCCTTATTTGTGCTCGTGGTGCTGTGACACAGACGCTTTCCCCTTTGAATTTCTGAATGGTGGGGGACGGGAGCCCTCCAGAAATTCAATCAAAAGCCATTTTCCCCAGCACCTGAAATCGCCCGCTGTCTGTGAGGCCTGGCGGGCAGTTCAGAGTGGGTTTGCCCGGGCACGCAGACAGCACGGCCCTGTCGTCTGCATGCAGCGGTGTGACAGAGGACTTGAAACCCGTTTGGTGTCGGTACCTCTCTCTCCTCCGAGAGTTGAGCTAGGCGCTAATGTGGGGAGCGCAGAAGCTCGCCTATGCAGCCGGCTGCTCTGCTGTACGTGGGAGTGGGGCGAATCTCCAAATGGCTTAGTGTTTTGGGCCAAGCCAAAGGGCGTCTCTGCAGCTGAGCTGCGACAGATGCAAAGCAGCGTCCCTTCCACGCCTGGCACAGGGGCCTCTCGCCCTGCACCTCCTGCCTCCACCAGTCACGTCCGAACCTCAAAGACTGGGCAGGCAGCGGTAGCACAGCACAGGTTAACCTACGCAAACAAAAGACCATCCTAGAATGGCCGGATGTCGGTTAAAACAGGTCGTGCTTTGGTATTCAGAGCCACCTCCTCCCTTCGCAAATCCCGGCCAGGTCTTTCTCCATCTTGCCCAGCCACGGCACAAACGGCCGCTTCTAAAGGCTTCTTGCTGCTCTGGTACCTGCTGCAGAAATCCCACGGCAGCAGTGCAGGGCACATCAGCTTCCACCCCAGGATGTCTCTCTCCTATGGTCAGTGTAGTGCATAGGGGTAGCCAGAGGTGATGGGTACCTGAAGGCTGCAAGCTCTTTGCAGCATGACCTGTCGTCCAGTTCTGCGTATGCAGCTCCTAGCACGGAGAGGGAGGGTTTCTGAGCCAGGAGCTGTGGCAGTGCTTCTCAGAAGCTAGTTATGGTTTGGTACCTCATATCCCCCCCCCCCCCCCACAAAGGGGGGGCTTTCTCTGTTATACAGATTTTTACTGAGGAACCCTTTTTGGGGGGGCA